TGATCGATGTTCTCTCATCGATGTTTCTAACTCTCTATCTCTCTCCCTTCCTCTCTGTAAAAAACCAATAAAATATATTTAAAAAATAAAAAATAAAATGTAAGACTTCAGCACTGAAAGTGTAAGCACAGCCTCACAGGTGAGAGATGACTGTCTTAGGTAATGCTGGGTCTCAGTGTGTCCATGCAGTACCAGTCCTCTGTACAGGAAATTTAAAAACTGGCTAAACTAAATAACATTCGGTTTGAAGATAAGTACACACTTATTGAAAATCTTTAGAGAATCTCAAGAGTGTAAGAAGCACAGGACTCAGGATAGAGGTTACATCTGGGGGATGGGATAGAGATTACATCTGTGAGTGTCAACTGTTATTTGTTGGCACCAATTCAACACGAACAGGAATCCCCTATTTGAGATGCCCAGTCTTTAAACTCTTTGAACCAGCTACTGTGTGTTCTCAACTGTGCTGTCACTTACTATAGGGAACATTACTACTAAAGGTCTCTCTAAAAAAGACTTACAAATATTATTGTTCCTTCTTACTCTGTCTCATTTAACCATTCTTTCCAAAGTGTAATTTAAAGTATTGAAGAAGATAATCAGGTAAAGGAAGCATTGACTTGCAAAATCCTGAAACAATATTTAGTGTTAAGTAATTTGTTATGCTGCAATACATGACTAAAACAAATTCCAAAGGGAGAATGAATGATTGCACTTTAATTTTCATTTGTTGGGAAATAATTATAAGATAGTCAAACATGTAATTTCCTTTTAAGATGTAAGAATTTACGTGGGTAGGAAAGAAGAAGAAGCAGAAGAAGAAGGAGCAGGAGAGAGAGAGTGGGAGAGGGAGCCAGAGAAGGAGGAGGAGGGGGAGGAGGAGGAGGAGGAGGAGAAGGAGGAGGACGAGGAGGAAGGGGAGGAGAATTTCAATGGCTAATAGGCAGGATGCATTATTAGCCATGGAACAATCTATTTATTTGCACTTCCATTTCCAACCATGACCAATAAACACTAACGGAAGGACAGGTCGTGCTATGATGGTCCCTGGTAACCAACCTGGTTATTCACCTTCCCCAGTCATTCAACCAAACACTAACCTAGGGCTGCTGGGAAGGGATTTTGCAGATGGAAGTAGATCTCAAATCAGTTGACCTTTAGACTGCTCTGGGTGAGACTGTCCCAATCAGATGAGGGCTGACTGGGGTTCCTCCTGAGCAAAGAGATCCCAAGTGTGAGAGGACTTCAATGTGAGCCATCTTCCCCACTGGGGGCTTTGAAAACAAAGGGCCACATGGTAAAGACTGCTGGTGCCACCAGGTGTTGGGAGCAGCCCTCCCCAGGCTCCTCCTCCCTGACAGTTGTCACGGAAACAGGGACCTCAAACCCACATTTGAAGACACTGAATTCTGCTGACAATCCTATATAATAAAGATGTAATATGCAAATGGTCATTATGCCATGAAGCATAACAACAACCGACAGCATAATGACAGGATCAAGGACCAGCAAGAGGGTGGGGCAGCGAGCTACAAGTGGGCAGCAGAGAGCTACAGGAGTGGGCAGGGCAGCAAGCTATGAGCAGGGCCCGGAGGAGGGGGTTCCGGGGGGCTGAGGGAGCTACAAGAGGGCCGGGCACTGGCAAGCTACTGGCGCACGGATTCGTGTGCAGGGCTACTAGTCTGTATATAAGCTTAGACAAGGGTCTGAGCTCAGGATGAGGGCACAGCTTTGTGACTCTGATCAGAGAACCCATCCACACCACACCTGCATTTACCATTAAGGTAATGTTAGCAAATAAATGAGGGTTGTTTTGAGCCACAAGTCTGTCGTGATGTGTATATAGTTATATTTATATGTGACACAGCATTTATATAATACACAGGCTCAACTGTGCCACGGAAAAGCACACAGCATTTTCCCCCCAGAATAAATTTATGAACTGATATGCACAGCAGTATTACATGTACGTGTACTAAAATCTTTGCTAACATTTTTGTATTTTTTATGATTTTATGTAATGCAATTAAAAATTTAATACAATTGACATTCATTCATTCAACAACAATTAATTTCATGTCTACTATGTACCAGAAGCAGCTTCATGTGCTGGGAGACTACTTTGACCTGAACAGCCCAAAGCCCCTGTGCTTGTGTATCTTACTTGTTAGAGGCTTCCCAGAATGAGACTGAGTCACTGGTGCATTTTTAGAGAAGAAATGACACAACCTGACTCACATTAGCAGGATTGCTGACCCTGTGGGGGGAATAGTCCCTGGGGGGCAGGTGAGGAGGTGCTGCTAATGCCACAGTCCAGAGTGGGAGAGTGGTAGAGACATGAGATAGATAGTGGTAGAGGGATGAGAGACAGAGAAGGGCTGGAGAAACAGGAGTGAGGAAAAGAAGTGGAGGTACCGATTCTAAAGCAGTGGAACCTTTAGATTTAAATCTGCTTATAGATCTATAGTAAATATACCTACAGAGCTAGCAGCGTGTTCCTTGCCATTGTTACATAATACATTCTGTGGGGCTGACTAAAAACTAATTGCCACCTTATGTTAACCAGTTTAAAAAATAATGTGTCCCGATAAGATATGCTCACTGCTTCCATGTGAGTAATTCATAAGGATGGCAGGGCAGGAGCGCTGGTGAAGGGCACTGTGACCCACTGAGCACCTGCGACTGTGAGGATGCACAGGCTCCTGCTGAAATGCACAGTCACACATGCTCCCTGGGCTCCTTTGTAGGGAGGGTGTGGGGGACTCACAGGGACAAGCTCAGGGCTGGGGAATGCAGGTCAGTTCACAATGTAACAGTCCCCAGCCACACACTTCCTGTGTGGGAAGGAGAGTTGAGGAGCTTTGTAGTCTGGCTGCAGGGCTGTTTAGATAATTTGCATATGAAGCCTCTGAAATCACTCATTTTACAGATTAGCTTCCTGATGTCCAGGCTTCCCAAGACTGTGGTCCCCCTGCCCTTCACTGGTCTTCTCAGGCCCAAACCCTCCAGGATTACAGAGGAGACCCTGTCCTCCGCCTCCTCTCACAGGGAGCTCGCTCTCTGGCATCAAGGTCCCAGGGTGAGTTTTCCTCTAGAAGAGTCCAGGGCAGAGGTGAGGGTGGGAGGCAGAGTGCATTCCAGGGAGAGGGGTTCCAGGAGGAGAAGGGGAGGAAAGGGCTGGTCCCAGCCTGGGGAGTCTCCCTGGTTCTCACCCAGCCCCTGGGCGGGGCTGAGGGAGAGGGTGTGACAGAGCTCTCCGTGCAGGGGGAGGGGTCAGGGCAACGTCCCAGGTCCCAGCCCCAGGGCGGAGACTGAAGCGGGAAACTTAGTGTTGGGGAGTCCCCATCTCCCCTCAGTTTCATTTCTTCTCACAACCTGTGCGGGCCCCTCCTTCCTAGTGACGTGGCCCCAAGTCTCACTCCCATTGGGTATCAGGTGCTACAAAAGCCAATCAGCGTCACTGCACAACACAGTCTCCTAGCATGTTTGCTGGACTCCCTACACCCGGAACATGCGGGTCATGAGGCCCCCAACCCTCCTCCTGCTCTGGGGGGCCCTGGCCCTAACCCAGACCTGGGCGGGTGAGTGCGGGGTCAGGAGGGACCGGCCTCTGGGGAGGAGGAGCGAGGGCACCCGGCGGGGGGGGCAGGACCACAGGAA